AAAGTTAAAGACTACATTGCAAGAACATAAACTTGGCATAAATAAAAATACGGGCTCTCCAACCGTCGTCTCGAATTATCGTATGGAATGTAACCACTTTGATTGAAGCAATGTAAAAATCCTTGATAAGGAACCTTCCTATAAAAAAAGGTTGATCTGAGATGATTCATATCAAAAAGTCAGGGTCTAAACAAGCAGAGTGAATCTGATTCGTTATATGATTCCTGTCTTTCTATACATACAATCTTCTATCATACTCCCTCTCTTAGCCTTTCTTCCCCTTTTTCTTCTTGTTTCCCTTTCCTATTTCCAATCCCCTATCTTCTTAACATTTCTTTCACTTTGTGTATCGCCACCAGACGACTGAGACGTTTCTTCGCGATACAGTTTCCTAATTTTTATACTCTTTTGCTAATGTGAAATTATCCTTGTCTGAAGAAATATTGTATTAATATATTTCTGGAGGTTTTTATATCATTAGATACAACTATAAATCTAAGATAACTTACTATAAGTTTTGATAAGTTTTATATTATATATATAGTAATCAGACGGATTTTCGTTCTTTATTCAGTATTTTTGCACTTAATGCTTTGATTTTTTTGTTTTAAATATCGCATTGATGTAATTTTTTATTTTCACTATTGCTATAGATTTTAATATGAATTTTTGACGTACGATGCTTGTGAATTTTTTGCGTAATTTGACACCAATATGGATTTTTATTATTTTGACATCTTAACTTTTACTTTATATCGTTGCGGATAATTTCACATTCATGATGACAGGATGCGATTCTACTGATGGCCATTTATATTATATTTTTTTACCATTGACCCGTTTTATTTTAAGTATATTAATTTAATTCTTTCTAATTATGTTTATTTTTAACATTGAAGATGATCGGCTCGAAATGACATTTGTTATTTGTTATTCATGTTAGATCATGATAATTATATTTGTTTCTTATATTTATACATTTACTTTGTTGTTATTTGGATCATATATTTTCTAAACTTTTATTTTTAACAACTTTTATTTTTAACATACTAGAAATTTTAAAATGCCTAATACGGTCGAATACTGGATCTTCATTACTTTAAATTAATAATTTAAACTTGAATTTTATTGATATATACTATATATGATATATATTTTTTGTTTATTGTAAAGAACAAGAATTATTGTAAATTATAAGAATAATTATAAAGACAAATTGATGATCTTATTGTTCTCTCACAGGTAAGATAGAAATTTGAACTCACACAGATAAGTTTTTACTCTCGATTGTTGGTTTTTATAATAATAATAAAAAACGTAACTATATATAATATTAAAAATATATTCGACAATTTTGAATTTTAACTTCTAAATATGACATTATAAAAATTGGGAATTGTGTGAGACATTAAGATATCAAATTCTTTATTATTTTATGGAAAAATCTGGCCGTATAACACAAGATAGTAATCTTATAGGACGAAATAAGAGGATTAATTGAGACTACAAGAACATCGTACAAGTATATGTAAAATTTATATGGCGTTAAATAATATATGACTAAAAATAGACATTTTATAATTTTGTTCTGATACTGAAGATAACCTAATCTAAGATCGAAACGTTTATCGTTATATATGAGAAATAGACTATTGCACTAATATCTTACGTTGGCTTTTATGCTCTTTGAATAATTATTTTGATTTGATCAGAAAGCCGATATTATATAGAATTCGTTTTATGATTATTTGCTGAACAATCCTAAACGCACTCAACTTTTCAATTTTTCGTTCAGCGGTCGACATAATTTAAAACAGTAAAGTAAAAGTAGTATGCTGAGTCACGAAACGTTGAGCAAAATGGCTGCAAAACGATTGCATCTTCATCAAATATTTAATCTTTATAATATTGTGTTTCAGGATTTTATATATTTTTTTTTACAAAAAATATAAATCATCGGAAATCAGAGGCTAATTTTTGGATATCTTTTGTGTTTCACTCAAAATTTCACACAGACTCGAAACAACATAACAACAGAGAATAAGAATGCTGTCCCATAACAGTCAAAATTTCGGAAAATGGAAGCATATAAATATATTCATTTATATTGTTGAAGATAAAATTGTATGCTTGTCAGTCCGAAATTTTTGTAGCTTATAAATTATATTTACCAGGTGTACAAGTACGAAGTGCGGATTTGAGACAATAAATGGTGCATCACTGCAGTGTGTAGTATAAAGATTTGACGTATATGCCATTTTGTTGTGCCATCAACAAGTGTCAAACGCGCATAAGTGATAAATTGAAAAAGTGTTTGCATAATATTGTTTTACTGTGTTCAATATGTCGAAATTTGTGCCAAATAAAGAGCATTCGCGGACAGCATTAATTTTTTGTTTTCATTTGAAGAAAACTGCTGCTGAATCATACCGATTACTTCGAGAAGCTTATGGTGAACATGCTCCATCGCAAGATACGTGTGAACGATGGTTTCGGCGTTTCAAAAGTGGTGATTTCGATGTTGCAGACAAGGAACACGGAAAACCGTCAAAAAGGTACGAAGATGTAAAATTGCAAGCATTGTTGGACGAAGACGATTCACAAACACAAAACAACTCGCAGAGCAATTAAGCGTTAGTCAACAAGCTGTTTCCAATCGCCTACGAAAGATTCAGAAGGTCGGCAGATGGATATCACATGAGTTGAACGAGAGGCAGATGGAGAGGCGCAAAAACATATGTGAAATTTTACTCGAACGATACAAAAGAAAGTCGTTCTTGCATCGTATCGTTACTGGGAATGAAAAGTGGATATATTTTGAGAATCCCAAGCGCAAAAAATCATGAATAGATCCAGGTGCACCATCCACATCGACCGCAAGACCGAATCGCTTTGGCAGGAAGACGATGCTCTGTGTTTGGTGAGACCAGAAGGGTCTATTATCAGCTGTTAAAGCCTGCTGAAACGCTTAATACCAAACGCTACAAATAACAATTGATCGATTTGAACCATTTGCTACTCGAAAAACGATCAGAATATCGAAAAAGGCAACACAAGATCATTTTTCTCCATGACAATGCTCCATCGTATACGGCAAAACCGGTTCGCGACACGTTGGAAGCACTCAGCTGGGAAGTGCTAGCCCATTGCTAGCGGCTTACTCACCAGACTTGGCTCCTTCCGATTACCACTTATTTGCATCGATGGGTCACGCACTTGCTGAGCAGCGCTTTGTTTCGTACGAACATGTGAAAAAATGGCTCGATGAATGGGTCGCGGCAAAAGGGGAAGATTTTTACTGGCGTGTTATCCACAAATTATCCGAAGGATGGGAAAAATGTGTAACTAGCAATGGAGCATACTTTATAAACCACTTTTTATCATTCTTCCGAATTTAACGTGTTTTTTTTTGAAAAAAATCCTCATTTCATATTTGTACACCTGGATATGTTGGAAAAATGAATACTTACATTAATGAATATTTATCGAACAATTATTTATTAATAATGAATTTTTTTTGTAGAATCGTATAAAAATTCAATTTTGATAATCTTGTATTTAACGTATATGTGCAGACGAACAGTAAAGTATCTAATAATTCTGATTGATTGATCAGCACTCTATCACTTTTCCGAGATTCCGTTTTCCGATTGTGTGTGAGGCAGCACCCTAAGTCTGAAACGCAATGAAGATTAGATATTTGATAAAGAGATGCAATCGCTTTGCAGTCATTTTGCTCAACACGTTTGTGACTCAGCATACTTTTACTTTGCTGGAAAGCATGTCGACTGCTAAACAAACATGTTAAAAAGTTGAGTGCATTTAGACTGTTCAGCAGATAATCATGAAACGATTACAAAACTTGCCTTCTGTTGCGCAACGTAGCTGTGGAAGTCATGGCGATCACTGAATAAACATGTTGAGATGCTAATTGTATCTAGGATTGCTCAGCAGACAATCGTAAAACAATTGTAAAATTGTTGCGTTCTACTGAACGCATCTAATGGATGCATTCAGCAGAAAAAGCAGCTTTGCAACTGTTGTGCAACTGTTCTTCTATATGATTGGTTTATACATTTAGATCATAAGCAAAAATCAATATTCGTATTGAAGAATTTTATAACAGTTGCAAAGCTACTTTTTCTGCTGAACGCAGTCTTTTTTTCTTTTTGGCTATCAAATATTAAACAAGGAAAAGTGCTATTACAAACGCTGTGGGCGCCAAAGCAAAGATAATCACTTTCTCGCTGGAAAGCATAAAAAATTTTTATATAAATAAATTTTTTATGCTTTGAAAAAAAACAGATTATTTAATACAAAAATAATTTCTTTCATATGTAAAACTAAACGATCCAGTAAGCAATTTGTATTATTCATATTATATGTATATGTATAATTATTTAAGATTTCTCATTAAATGCACGACCGTTCACTTAGCGCTCATTGAGCTCTTGTATCAGATGGTCTATATTTTTAGATTTAATGGAACATGCTAATCAGATGCAAAAGTTCACTGAGCGCTCAGTTAGCGATCATGCTTCTGAATGCATCCACTGCTTCTAGATTTCAAGCATGGAAAACGATTAGTCAGCAGTTAAAATTAGATTGTTTGATAAATTAAATTTTTATTGTGTCACAATCTTTTTGGTCATAATATGAAAAAAAATCTGATTAATTCTATTTAAATCCATGAAAATATGCAGAAGAATTTATAATTTCTGTATCTATATCTGTATAGCAGGCCCTCTCAATTATTTATCACATGTAAAGAACATAGCTTTTTTATAAAAAAAAAAAAATTTTAGTAATATAGTAATTGTAGAGAAAAAAAACATATGTAAATTATGTTATATTTGCGTATATTAAAATTTTTTATGACATTGTATATAATTTATAATGTACATTAAAAATATGAAAATTACATAAAAATCTTCTCTAAATCGTAGAATTATGAAGTTATTTGTATGTTGATTTCTTATCTTTTCTTTTTTGTTTTACAGATAAAAGAAGAAGAGAAAAAAGAGAGATGAAAATAAAGCGCAGTAAGTCTCTTTCTCCTGAACCATCTAGTAGCAGAGATATAAAACGTATAAAACTTGAAGAAATTGCAAATCTAAATGGATCAACATCTCTGCATATCCTTGAATTCTCGGATGATGTTTTACTTAATATATTGAAATATTTACATCCACAAGATCTTATGGCAATCAGCTTGTGAGTTGTATTTATCTATGTTATATTTGTTGTGATGCTTCTACTTATTTATTTCTTTAAATCATAGATGTTGTCAAAGATTTGCACAATTAACGCAAGACAGAACTCTGTGGAGAAGAGCAGATTTTCGAACAAAGCCCATATATCTAGAAGATTTGAATCAGTATATGAAGTTTTTGCAACCAATAACAATGAGTTTGGCAATGCGTGGCAATCTGATTTCTCGTGAACGTTCATCTCTTACGCAAAGATTCTTTAATAATGTGAAAACACTATGTGATCAACTCAAAGAATTGATCATTGAAGAATATTATATCAATGGAGATAAGGTATATTTTATGATATAAAATATATGATTATAAGTAACATATTCTTGTTTTTAAAATGTTAGAATGTATTTAATATGATTTTTTCTGCCTGCTTCCTTCTTTTCTATCATAAAATATATATATAATTTACTACAATGCACGACTTTTACAGATTCATATAACAGATTTTCCATGCACTATTGAAAAGCTTTCATTAGAAGGTTGCAAAATGAATTACTTACAAAGCAATAAATCTTATTTTTTTAAAATGGATCTTCACATGCCTAATTTGACAGTAAGTTGATATTTTAATTATAGATAAAGCTTTTAATATCAAAATGATGTACTGTTTTTGATTACTGTTTATTTCTCATTATTTCTTTTCTATTTGTGTTTACAATTATATAATTTAATTTTTGAATTGGCTGCTTTATGTAAATTATTATGTATAACATAAAACTATACTTGCAAAAAAAACAAGTAAAAAATTATGTTACAATGTCCCCTATTTGTAGGTGAATGTATACAGAGTGGATATATTCATTTTAATTAATACAAAAATAACATGACCAAAATACGTCAAACAAAATATTTCCAACAAAAGTATATTTCGAGAGGGACATATTTTGATCATTATTTTTTTTCTAGGTGCTAGAAAAGATCAAAGGTCGTTACATTAAAAAAAAATAGAATTATATGTTTTTTAAATTAATATTCTCTAATTATTCTATATATAAACGTATTAAGATAGATATATTAAAAAATTAATAGTTTACGAGATATTTTATACTTTATTCTGGCACATATTGACATAAAATGTTAAATATCTTCTAAACTTTTAATTTTTTTAGACTTACACCTTAACACTTTTATTAGAATAATGAGATGAATCAATTAGTATAATGAGAACGTATAGTTTCTTATTTAAAAAATTATCCCTTTTGCCTACATAGTTTTAAAGCAACTATGTTTTTGTATTCCAATTAATTCATTTCATTGTATTTATGAAAATATAGATTATTAAAAAATTTAATGTTTACGAGATATTTAATGGTTCATGTCAATATGTGGAAGAATAATTATATTATAAAAGAAAACCATATATTTATAATTGCATTTAAAAAAATGAAGACAACTCATATTTTTTTGGCGCGTCCATCTAGAAAAGAAATAACGTGTCCAGATATAGCTCTCGAAATCATTCATTTTTGTTTAAAATCTTCATATTTTTCGAAATATTGATCTGTTAAGATTAATAAAATTGTATTATAATAACGACACTCAATTAAATTCATAAATATGATAAGAGGCTTAGAGCAATAGCCAGTTTTTAGCTGCTAATTTTAATAAATCTTAAATTACATGACATTTCGACCTTACATTTTCAATGTTCGAAAAATAATGACAAATTAAATTAATTTAAGGTTTATTAAAATTAGCAACTAAATACTGGCTATTGCTTTAAGCCCCTTATTAAAGATATTTGTAAAGATTAAAATAAATCATTCTATATAGGATGTCCGTTCAAATGTCCGAGCAAATATCTCACAACTGATCGAAGTTATAAGAAAGTTTAATAAGAAAAATTTATATGACTCCTTATATAGTACGACGAATTAGCTACAAAGTATACGTGAAAATTTTTTTTACTCTTGGCTTTTTCGAATTATTATGTAGATTACGAATTATTATTATTATGTAGATTAATATAGATCTCTGTTACACGGCACGCTTTACGCCGAAGTTATAACATCGATGTTATAACTTCAGTGTAAAGCGTGCCGTGTAAACGTAGTAATAGGTTTTTTAAATGGATATATTAGGTGTTGGAATTAATTCGTAGCGTTTTACAAGTGATGGGAAGTACTTTCATTAATGTATTTTTTAATGCTCATGTGAAATAAATAACATTCTTTCATTAAAAAACGCTACGAATTAATTCCAACACCTAATATAATTTTTTGCATAGTATTTGTATAGTAGGGAGCATTTGCAATGAAAATTATATATAGTAAAAAATTGCTATTATGCATCGTTTATGAAATAATCGACATCTTAAGTATCAAGTAGTAAATTGAATTCTAAGTAATTTTGAACGTGGTTTGAAATGTTAAAGAGAGGTTGAAGAAGAAAAAAACGAATAATTTTTTATTGAACATTTATTAACCTATAAATTGCTCGAAATTTTGACCATCGTGTTCAATACAACATTCAACGCGTTTTATAATGTTTCTCATTGTTGACTACAGCATTTCTACTGTAATGCCTTCAACAGTTCTAGTTATTTTATTATGTCATAAATTTTTTCTTCATTTTCAGATACAGTTGCGTAGACAATGTCTTTAATATGGCAGAATATTAATCGGTGATATGCATCTTCTTCATGTAAAACTTGTACTAAATTATCACAAAACGATTTGAATTTGGATTTCTTTAATACAACGTATTCGTAATCTCTTGATATTTCTAAATTATGTGTTACTATTCTTATGGATGTTTGTTTTCAATAAAACTTAATAGTACACTTGTCTGTTTTTCTTCGTCTGTTCTAATTGTATGACGTTGTTTTGTTAGTGATCGTGTTCGACGTAATTGATCTTTAATTCGCCGAAATGTACAATCGTTTGGTATTCTTCGTTTTGGATACTTTTATTGATAAAGAAGCCAAACTTCATTTTACGCATACTTAAATGCCATATCTCGAGCATATCACACTTTTCGTTAATTGTTAACATCGTTATTTTCGTAATCTACAATATGATATGTATTCATTGAAAAGACGACTGACTGACTGACTAACAGATACTGCACTGAATTTCATACTGCAGACAAATACTTTATTTACAAAACAAACAGTCATGTATTTTGACGAGTTAAAGGTCAGTGATCCTGTTTGACATAACGAATTCAAAATATTAGTCTGAATCTTGTTTTCAAATTATGATATGGAAATCAAGATTCAATACTTAAGATTCAATACTTAAGACGTCGATTATTTTGTAAACGCATAGTAGCAATTTTTTACTACATATGATTTTGATTGCTAATGCTTTCTACTATACAAATATGCAAAAAATTGTAGATATCCATTTAAAAAAGCTATGTTAACTTACATAACTCGAGAAAGTGTAGAAAGAGTAGAAAAAAATTTTTGCGTGTACTTTGTCGCTGACTCGGAGTCGTACTTTTTTTTATTAAATTTTCTTGTAACTTCGACTAGTTGCGAAATATTTGCTCAGATATTTATGGACGGACACCTTGTATATAGGATATTCAAAAAGGTTGGATTCCCGAATTCATTCAGAAGGATGACGGAAGAAATATTTCAAACAAAAGTTCAATAAAAATGTAAAATCTATTTACTGACCTTATTAATTTGACCTTATGCGTCGCCAAGACCAGATCATGGTTGATTTATGTATAAAATTGTATATCAATTTTTTTAAATACATTGTTTTTGATTTCAAAATCTTATAGCTAGTGTCAAGATAATTTCAAAATACTATGATAAAGTCATTTTTCATTAAGTATTTTTCGAGAGTTTTTAATGTGAAAATGAAAATGAGAAGAACAACCTCCAATAGTTTTGAGTTTGACATATGATGTCAAGATTAAGATCTTGAACAACATTTAAGGGATTTCAACTAGTCGGGCATCTTTGATAATGCTAATGATGACTTTCGAGCAGACTTCACAACTCGAAAAGTACTTAATGAGAAATGACTTTATTATAGTGTTTATATAGTGTTTATAGTCTTTATATAATGTTTTGAAAAGTTCTTTACATCAGTTTTATTAGACTTTGGATTAAAAAATAGGGTGTGTTTCAATTTAAAAAAATTTTTATTTGACCTTGATATGATAAAGTCAATATTTCAAACATTTACTACACTAATTTATATGATAGTATGTCTTTAGATTAAAATTAATTAATGGATTGGTTCCATACATAACAGAAAAAAAGTTTGAAGATATGAAGATTTTGTTTTAAATTTGTTTGTTTTAAATTTAACATCTTGTATTTCCTAAATGAATTAATTGAATTGAAAAACTCAAACGTAGAATGATAGAATTGAAATATCTTTCTAATAATGTATTCAATCAGAATTTTTGATGTTAATGTCAATAGAATTGAGAATATAAAATTGATTCACATATTCAACGTATTTTACATCTTATAAGTTTTTTTAATAAATATATGTACATAAATATATGTGCATATTATATGTAATATATGTATATATTAGGTATAATAAAAAGAAATCCATTATTTTTCCAATAAATGGCTTTAATAATCTGTATCACGCGTAGACGAGATACAGATTACTAAAGCCATTTATTGGAAAAATAATGGATTTCTTTTTACTACACATAATATATCAAATTTCTAATAAAACTTCTATATAAGACAAATTAAATATCTATATAATATATAAATAAACATTTATATATTACATATTGCATGAAGCAAACACAACCTCAAACAAAACTTTTTATAAAATAATATTAGGTGTACAACTTTGCTTCGTCGTTTTTTTCCGAAATTCGAGGCTTTATTGTAAAAAAACTG